TGACAACTGATTAGTCATCGTAACATATCAAATTGAGAGTGTTCTCTGCTGAAATGTCTGTTGAATGTTATCAGTTTAGATATTAAAATATTGCTCGCTTCATTAAAATTTTTAACAGTTTTCCGTTTTAAAATTAAATTATCTGAAGCAATAAAATGGAACTCTTGTTTGACAACTGAGCATCACACGAGGTTCACTGGGTATACAATTAACTATTAAAAGATACCAAAATGCATTTTCGTTCAAATATCATTCAAATGAGTAAAGTTTATTCAAAATTAATTATTAAGAAATACAAACACTCCGTAGATCTTTTAAAACTATAAGTATCAGTGATATTAATCACACAGTGTGATTAATATTTTTCGGCATTGATTTAATAATATTCTTAATTATCTTTTAGCAGTCGCATTAATTGGCTGAGATGATAATTTTATTGTCGGATAATATGGTATTTCCTGTCACGTTTTAAATAGACAGTGAATAGACTTCCTCTGTATATGATTTTTCTCATGGACTTTGATTTTCGTGAACCATTTTCATAAGAAAAATGTGTTTCTATAGTCATTGAAGATTTGTCTAATTAGAATTTTAGCATAAATTTTTCTTTATCTCAAATATAAAACCTACTGTATAAGTCTGAAGTAAATAATTCGGCGGTAGCTAAGTTCATCTTCTAATTAACAGCAAAGGAAACTTTATATAAATTGCGGGTTATAGACTTACATTAAAGCTTAAAATATCCAAATAATTGCGAATTACAAACAGTTGCTTCAGTGTTCAAAATATCTCCAGTCCATAAAAAGATTTGCTGGTTTTAGCCATATATATCATTGCAGTTGACCAAAACTCTTTACAATATCTGATTCTTTGATAACTTGGCCTAATTCTTTTTTTTATACAAACGAAAAACTTGTTTAGAATTTCATACTTCAATTGGATTATTATGACCAATGGTATACTGCAATGAATGAGAGATGTAATCCCTAGAAATTGTCTTTTAATATAAATCGAACACAGATCAAGGTTATTGATAAACTTTTCAGAGCTTCTTCAAAAACAGCATAACTCTTTTAAAAGTAAAAAAAATGTTCTTCCCATTTTGGATTCCAGACTTTAGTGATATGAAAATTTTAAATGAATTATAATAAATTTAAAAAATAATAAAATTTATTTTCAAGCAATTAATTACTATTAGTTTCTGCTGGCCTGCAATATTGCCACCATTTTAAAGTAGATGTAGACAATAGACAATAGTTCCAAAAACTTTATTTAAAGTTGAAAGTTTTTAAACTGATTAAATATTAATTAGTTCTAAATATTTTTAGTATATGATAAAATTGAATTTTATTTAATTAAATTGTGTTAATTTTTTTGTAACTCACAGAGAAACAAAGGAACAAAAATGCAATCAAGCGCTTCACTTAAAGTGCATTAATTGAAAAAATTGTAAATTAAATTTAAAATAAAAATTAATAACGTGTACTGCAATATAAAAAGGAATTTAATTATATTTTTAAAATATTACATTCAACATTAGTAACAAAAACACTAAAATGAAACTGGTAATTATTTTATGAAAAACTCATTATATGTATGTACTATATAGCGTAGAATGAAAAAAAAAACAGTCAAAATTTCTAATTAATGTATACTAAAAGTAGCAAATATTAAATCAAATTAATTAAATTGAATTAAATAATATTAAATTAAATGAAAAATATTTATAAATTTAGTAGCCTAATTAAGTGTGTAAATGTGTCATTAAACTACTGTGGACTTGTATCTGAACTCGTGGCAACTGACGAGTTCAAATACAAACAAAATATAATATAAGCATACTACTCGAAGACCTTCAACAATGTAGATACATACTGTCTACATAGTGACTCGTTTATTTCTTTATCAATTCTTAATTAAGTGTATTAATATTGATTTATTTAAAAATAAATTTATTTTTGTTGTTCGGTGTTAATCAACAAAAGCGTTCTTCTAGCGGCTCATTAGAATAACGCTTTTGTATCGCTTCGTATGTCTGCTTTAAGTAAAGCTGCCCGCCAAATTAGCAGCTTTGCTAGAATCACACATACGACTTTTTAAATCTCAGAAATGATAAAGCAAAAAATATTTAAAATATTTTTAAAATAATCTTATTTGCAGTCGTGCAGTTTTGTTTTGTCAATTCTTGGTACAAACTTTTTTAAATTTTCTTAACTTGGATACACAAACCTATCAAGTATCTGAGCTACTTATAATAATATTAAAAGATTCAAGTAATTGTAATCGAAAAATATTTGTAATAAATAAGAAACCAAAAAAAAAACCGAAAACTTATTTATTGGAAGCATATTAATATTTAGGAAGTGTGGATTTATTTCACCATCATCAACAGTTAGCATTATAATTTGATTGGAGCTTGGA